TGAAATTTCAGTTACATTATGCTATCGAACCTATATGAGATAGGGTGATGTGGTATCGCCCCGAGGTATGTGCATGGTAAGGTTATACCGCGATTTGTTGATTTTCGGAACAACTCTACGCTAGGTCGAAGACGAATGTATGTTTAAGTGGGGGAGGATGTAACGACCCCATGGGTCGTTTTGAGCATTTGCACTTCGCTCGCCAGCTCTTGGGCATGACTAGCCCCGTATGATATATTATGACTTATGTAAATCGTCGATTTTAGTTTTCAAGATAAACAGAATAGATTTGGAAGAACAATTCTCAGGTTGAAACTTTAAATTTGAAAGGTTTGACCAAGTTTTGACTTTTTAGTATTTGATCTCGGGTTTGGATTTTTATGATCTGGTTAGCTCCGTCAGGTGATTTTGGATTTGGGAGTGCGTCCAGAATGTATTTTGGAGGTTCGTGGTAGATTTAGGCTTGAATTGGAAAAATTGGAAATTTGGCATTTTTCGGTCGGCAGTGGAAATCTTGATATAAAGGTCGAATTGGAATTTTGGAAATTGGAGTAGGTCCGTTGTGCCATTTAAGGTGTGTGCGCAAAATTTTAGGTCATTCAGAGGTGATTTGAAAGGTTTCTATGTTGTTTGTGGAATTTAAAAGTTTATAAGTTCTTAAGTTTGAATCCACGGTTAATTTGGTGTTTTGTCATTTTTTTGAGTGATTCGAATGCTCGACTAAGTTTGAATGATGTTATAGTATGTGTTGACATGTTTGATTGAGGTTCCGAGGGCCTCGGGTATGTTTCAGATGACCAACGAGATATTTTTGGACTGAAGAAGATGGCAGATTTTTGCTGGTATTTTATTACAGAAGGTTTGTTCTTCGCGTTCGCGAAGATTGTCCCGCGTTCGCAAAGAAGAGTTTGGCCTAGGGGAGAAAATGCTTTTCGCGTTCGCGAGTCAGGGGATGCATTCGCGTAGGTTTGGATTCCAGTGAATCGCGAACGTGTGAGAGGCGTCGCGTTCGCGTATGGAAGTTGGAGCAGCTGGGACCCGGGGAGTTGCTCATCGCATTTGCGTAGGAATGGTCGTGTTCACGAAGGCTTTGGCAGCTGAAGCTTCGCGTTGGCGTGAAGGATCTTGCGTTCACGAAAGATGAAAAATTGAGCAGTGAATTTTTGTGCTTCACAAACGCGAGGCTTTGACCGCGTTCGCGAAGAAGGGCGCACCTGGGCAGAACGTTTAAGTTTAAAATCGAGGGTTTTGGTCCATAATCTCAAAATTAATTAGAAAACTCGGGAGAAGGCGATTTCAGAAGGGATTTTCAGAGGATTGATTGGGGTAAGTGTTCTTCACTCAAATTTGGTTAATCCCATGATTTATGTCTTGATTTTTATCATTTAATTTGGGAATTTGGGGTGAAAATTAGGGCAAAAATGGAAAAAAATTTGGAGAGTTGAATTGGGGATATGAGGGGCCATTTGAAGTCCAATTTTGATGTTCTTGGTATGTATAGACTCGTGGGAGGATGAGGATTCTTGTGATGTGATTTTTATCGAATTCCGAGATGTGGGCCCAGGGGTTGGGTTTGGCCAATTTCAGGTTTTTTGAGTTAATTTGATAATTTTTGTATGAGTTTCATTCTTTTAGCGTATATTGATGATAATATACTGATTTTTGGTAGATTTGGGGCATTTAGAGGCCGAGTCGAGAGGCAAGGGCATCGCGGGCTAAAGTTTGGCTTGGCTTGAGATAAGTAACGCTTCCAAACTTGGTATTGAGGGTTCTAAACCCCAAACTATGTGCTCTATGGGTATACGGCAAAATCGGAGGGTCCAATTTCTCTTCATTAAGGCATTTCAATGGATTATCTCGAGACCTCGAGGATGCGAGGTTGTGGTCAAGCTCCCTCCCTCGAGGTTCGTTGACGCACGGTCTAACGGCAATGTTGGTCGCGGTCATGATGGGACTGGAGAGCCCCCTAGGCATGCAGCTAGTACTGGCAGAGCATGTTGCCATCTAGTTGTCCCATCCCCTTACTTTTGTAATTAATGTTTTTGTACTATGTTGGGGATTCCCCTCCTATATAAAGGGGGTCTTTGACATTTTGTAAACTCTCTGTTGCTCCAGCTGCTCCATAAGAAATATAGAAGAACATTCTCTTTGCTCTCTGATACACTCTCATGATATTATTGCTTTCATTTATTGTCTTCATATTTGTTCATCATTTAATGCCTATAATTGGCCATAAAGAGCCTCCATTGATTCTACTATAACTGTTAGTCACATAGCAACTGTCTTCAATAGCTCGTAATCGAGCTCCGGATCGACCTCGAGGCCCAGAATCGACAAGCCCGAGGCCCCAAATAACTGATCAATTGGTTCGATTATAGGTCTCTCCTTAACTTTATTTTGTCTCTAAATCTCATATACTTAGCATCAACTGCTTAAGAAACTAGCATAAATATAGATCACGTATTTTTAGAGTCCCATCAATAAATTTAATTGTTATTACCAATTTCACGGTAAACACTATGATTATTATTGAGGTGACACAAATGCCATGTGACAGGCGTGCGGGCGTGCACCATGAGAATTGCGACATGGATCATTCCATGGCACCGCTTAGTAACTTTTTCTTGTTGATATCTGAGTTTCTATCATGTGATTAAGTAAATGTGTTGTAAAAACATGCTACATATCCTGTTAGGGCTTCACGCCGATACTGTTGAGACCCGAGTGATCGTTTCTTGCTGTCATCTCATTACATTCATTAATATTCTGTACTCAGTCTTACTCATGCATATCATATCATGTCTCAGTCTCAGTTATTATTATTTGGCACATCATATCATTGTTTCGGGCTATTTTCATAAACATTGTGAGCCCGTGTGTGTGAGACTAGACATTGATGACTGACTGAGGCCGAGAGCCTGATTGTGAGTGATAGTTATGGGATCGGGCTGCACGCGCAGCGGTTATGTTAATGATTATTATAGCGCTTGGGCTATAGGAGCCCCTCCTGAGTCTGTAACACACCCCAGTGAGCGCAGTTGATTATGTTCAGGGATGGATCATCCCTTCGTATGGAGATGAATCTTCTCCATGAGGTTGGTTGGCATGTTCCTCGGTACTGGAGACCGATAGTCTGTGATGCATATATATTCTGGGATGGATCTTCCCTGGGCCTAGTGATCTATATACAGTACCGAGTGGTTGTGAGGTTGTTATCATTGTTATTATTTGGAGATGGATATTCTCCACAGGCTGGAATGGCCTTCCTCAGTATTGAGTGACTGCTGTCAGAGATGTATATATTCTGGGATGGATCTTCCCTGGACCGTGTGAGCCATATACAGTACTGAGTGGACGGGCATTTGAGATTGTGGGCACCTGAGGAACTTAGCATGGTGTATTTCATATAGCATGTGCATTGGCATGTAGACGTAGCAGAGTTACACTTCCTTACCATGTATATACCTGCTTTGTATTTTCTAGAATCATCACCTCATTATGAACCAAATAATGGCATTTTCTCTTTAATATACTTCATATAATCTTATTGCACTTATCCTAGATCCAAAATCTCGTCTCGAGCTCGAACGAACCGATTCATCAATCTGCGGTCCTCGTCCTCTACGCTATTAACGACAGGAGCCTGGGTGGATCGACGTTGCAGAACAATAAAACCTCGATAGCGCAGTGGCCGATTTAAAATCACGAAATGACTGAGGGTAAACTCAATCGCGGCCTTGTCGACGAAATAGCTTATCGTCTACACTATCTTCCAAAGGAATGGATGAGCCTGCGCCAAGGTAACCCCATATCTCTGACAGAACTCAAGCACGACCCGGTTGGGGGGACCCGATGCAAAAGTATGCGTGTACACACTCAAAAACCCCTCGACATAGGTCGTGATGCTCTCCTCGGAGGAAGGTACTTGTAATTGTCACACCTCTTTTTTCTACCCCCGGAAGGGTATAAGGGAGTTTTTTCCATTTCAAGTGACAATCGAAATGGAATTATTTATATTAAAATTTAGAGTCGCCACTTGGGATAATTTATGGTGTCCCAAGTTACCGGTTTAAATCCCGAATTGAGGAAAGATTGGCTCTGTTTTACAGTCCGCGAACACAGAAATCCGGGTAAGGAATTCTGTTAACCCAGAAGAAGGTGTTAGTAATTCCTAGGTTCCGTGGTTTTAGCACGGTCGTTCAACTATTATTAATTGGCCTATTATCTGATTTACTACATGTTTTAAACCTATTGCATTTTTAGCTTTTTTAAACCGCTTTTAATTAATTGTTGCTATATATTGTGAATCATATCACGGGAACCATACCCACGATCCACAACATGTTTAATTTTTAAAGATTAAATTGTGGCCGGGTCACATAAATATACCCCCGAATTTTAGTAATTAAGTGTTACGACTACGTCACGGGAGTCGTACCCGTAGCTACGACAATTATTTAATTAACGCGCCTAAAGAAAACTACGAAAAGTCAAGGTAATTTCTATACTAAAATTTTATTTATATGAGGGCCATAGGTCATGGATTTTATTTGTGTATGACACACCTCGAATTATTTTAAGAAGAAATAGTTCTTGATCTAAATTTGTGAGGGCCATGTGTTATAAATTTAAAGCATGGCACACCTCAAGTTATTTTAAGAAAGAGGGTTATATAAATTTTAAAAGGGTAAACTAAAGGTATTCCTATTTTAAACTAATTAAAACTGATTATCACAACCACGTCACGGGAACCGTACTCGTAGTTGTAATAATTTAATTGCGTGCCTAGAAGCAAACTACGGTGTTCATAAATTATTAATTTTTAAACTAGTTTAAGATTCGATTACAAAACAAAAGAAAACGTACTAAATTTCCAAGACGTCGATAACAGTAAAAATGAACCAAATCAATTAGAGAACAAAGCTTTTAATATTGCATAGCTCATGTCTTAAACACTTATCAAACGGCCCATTAGGACAACTCAAAGAATACCATTGAGATATAGGAAATTGAACCAAAGGTTATGATAACCAAGAGAATAAATAACTACAGGTGTTGAATGAATTGGCTTCCAAGATTTACTACAAGGCAACAACTAAGAATAAGCTTCTGGCATCACATTCAATGGATTATTAAGCAATTCTTCACATTTTTCTTGCAAGCATATATGCTACTATATTAAAGAACTCCATAAAATTAAGCTAACAAAGAGACAAATCTACAGGAGCACTTTACTAATCCATTATTTGTTCAGCTTAGGTGCTAATAATTGGATTTGCATTTGATAGTTAGTAAAAAAGGGATATTTTCAGCATTTAGATGGGTACAAAGCTGCAGTATTTTAAATCATGTTCAGAAGCCGGCACATTGCTATTGTTGTGGGATTATATCATACCATATGTAAGTCCAAGATGTTGAAATCAGATAATTAACTCAAAAATGTAAACAAAAGGAAAATGATTTTTGCTAAGATTAAGAGAAAAAGTTGCAACCTCCATATCAAATGCATGAGCATGCTCCTCCTTATTACAGAAAAGACAACTTTGTGTACACCTTAGTTTTGAACCTCTTTTAACTTGAAAACAAAAATGTCAATCCAATATAAAAAATTCATCTCTACAGTCTACAATTCAGACATTAACATGGCTCCAAGATAAACAGATCTAGCAAATATGACTCTGGTGAAATTTAGATTATTTTCTGACCAACTAGCCTTTAAATCAAAACATGATTTTTCTGCACAAGAAAGAAACACAATAGTAAATCAAAGAAGTACTAAAGTAAGATCACAACCTGAAAGGGAAAGAAGCTAAATCTCCGTGAGACAAACAAAAATCACAAGAATCTTTGGGCAAACAAAACCATCAAACGGCTTAGACAGCAACATGGTCGAACTAAAATCCTATTTTTTGTTGTTAACCCATATCACAAACAAATACCAAGATGAGCACATAAAAATCAAAACACTAGAAACATACAAAGCTAAGCATGATTATAGAATTAACAGTTCCAAATCTTCACTTATACGCTCAAAAGAGTACAAAGGGAATTCGACATACCTAGTAGCAGAAAAATTACCCCAATAAAGTCTAGAGCTGGAAATGAAGGAGCACAGGTATAATTTGACAGCACAAACACCAAAAAAATCAGCGGACTAACGAACAGCAATTCCAACAATTTAGAGAACCAGAAATCAAGAGAAAGAACCAAGGCTAAAAGAACCTCTGTTTTAGTGACATCTTTTTCTGATTTTTATCTTAAACATTAAATAAACTCGAATAAAACATGAACTCAAACAATTTTCCTTTTTTCGTATGTTTTTCTGGAAAGAAAAAAGAAGCAGACTAAAAGAAATGGCTTGAAGAAGGTGACAACTCTTAGAACCCTAGAATTTTTCCTAGATTTTTCCTCTTATTTTTTCTTCGATTTTTTCTCTGATCTTTTTCCTCACCTAGCAAACAGAACTTACCTCATATATATAGCCTTCAAAAAATCTTCAAGTTTTTGCCAAAAATCCAAAAATCTTCAGGTTTTCTGAACAATATTTGGGGCAAATAGAAGGCATGGATCGATTTACATCTATCCACGGCTCCCATTCATCCAGCAAATCGTCTTTTCGTACCAAAAATCGTGCGATTTTGAGAGAATATTCTATTCTTTTTGATAAAAACCGTTGGGAATCAAATGACGTGGAGGGGAAGGGTCCCATTTGAGCAAACTCGCCTGAGTTCCAGACGAGTTGAGGGCCGAGTCGAGGAGGAATAAGGTGAACAATAGACAAGAGCGTCATTTTCTAATTTTCCTAGGTCTAGGGTTTGATTAGGGAAATATAATAAGAGAGATTTTATATGGAAGGGAAATGGGCGGGTCGAACTGGCGGGTTTGGTCCGATTTGTTTGGACTGGGGCGGTGAGTGTTTGGGCTGGGGAATTAATTTTGAAGGGAGGAAATCTTTGGGCTGAATTAAATATGGCCCAACTCCAAAAATTAAACCCTTCTTCAATTTTTCTTTTATTTCTAATCTCCTTTTCTTTTTCTTTTTCTTTCTTCTTTTTTCTTTTAATTAAAAATTCTAATAATTAAAAATCCTAAATTATCTAAAAATGTGAAATTAAACTAATTAGCTAATTATAAAAAAATTACAAACAATGCTTAATTCTAAATTCAAAGAGAAAAATCAATAAGCTAAAAATTAAAAGACAAAAATGTTAAAATGAGCTATTTATTTTTGTAATTTTCGAATTTCTATAAAACAAATAATTACTAATTACTTCTAAAAATGTAAAAAAAAATTCTAAATGCAATGCATGATATTTTGGTATTTTTCATGATTTAAAAATAAAATTAAACATGCACAGATATGCAAATAATTAAGGACATTCTATAAAAGTTCCTAAAATGGCAAATAATCAACAGAAAACCTATTTTCTTGGGATTTTACAGGAGTATTTAATATAGGGCAAAAATCACATGCTCGCAGTTGCCCCTTTTTGGTCGAAAACACGAATGATTTTCGGGCAAAGATAAAACGAGCAAACTATGAGGGATTTTTGCCCGTTTGAACTCCACGAGAAGCATCTTTGAAAAAGCCTGACTGAACCTTGCTTCGGAGGTTGCCTACATATCCTTGCCTATAAAGGAATCAGGTTAGTGTAGTTCTGAAAATTTTGGTAGCTGAGACTACTAGGAAACTGTGATTTCAGTGTTGTTGCTGCTGTTTCTGCTTGATGAGCTCCTTATTACACCAAGACAAAATAAAAGAAGCTAGACTAAACTTATGATCTATGAATTACAAGAATCCTATCTATATCCTCAAACTTAATCTTGCAGTTTCTGATGTTTTGTTGACTTGTACTATCCAGGTGAAATTCCTTTGCTGCTGGCTTGAATTGTATTCTGAGGTGTTTCCCTTTGTTTTTTAGGCGGACACCTGATTGCTGAACTTGAATCTTCTTCCTTCGAACATTACTGCTTTCCCCTTTTTTCTCTAGGTGGGCGCCTGATTACCAACATTTGAATTATCTTCCTTTCTTTCGACCCTTGACTTATTTTCCAGGTGGGCACCTGATTGCCGAACTTGTACCGTCTTGCTTTGAACATTGCTGCTTCCCTTTGTTTTCCAGGTGGGCTCCTGATTACCAACACTTGAACTGCTTCTCCCTTTGTTCTTCAGGTGGGTTCCTGATTACCGACGCTTGAATTGCTCTCCCTTTGTTCTCCAGGTGGGCTCCTGATTACCGACACTTGAACTGCTTCTCCCTTTGTTCTTCAGGTGGGTTCCTGATTACCGACGCTTGAATTGCTCTCCCTTTGTTCTCCAGGTGGGCTCCTGATTACCGACACTTGAACTGCTTCTCCCTTTGTTCTTCAGGTGGGTTCCTGATTACCGACGCTTGAATTGCTCTCCCTTTGTTCTCCAGGTGGGCTCCTGATTACCGACACTTGAACTGCTTCTCCCTTTGTTCTTCAGGTGGGCTCCTGATTACCGACACCTGAACTGCTTCTCCCTTTGTTCTTCAGGTGGGCTCCTGATTTCCAACACTTGAATTGCTTTCCCTTTGTTCTCCAGGTGGGCTCCTGATTGCTGAACTTGAACTACTTCCTTTTGTGACTGCTTTTCTTTTGAACTGTCTTCCTTTGTTTCTCCAGGTGTGTGCCTGATTGCTTGATCCTGGACTGCTTTCCATTCTCAAAACTCGTGTTGTTTTCCCTTGCTCTCCAGGTGGGTGCCTGATTACAACAGAATAGACAAAACAAAGAAAATTTTTTGCCCCAGTTTGGTAGCTGGGCACATCTGTGAGTGTTAATTGAGTCATGTTACCAAATATCTCTAAGAATTTGAAAGCTAGATCCCATTATTCAGGAGGGTCCTAAAATGCCTAGTTAACTGATAGTTTTTTAAGCTAAATGATATTTCCTAAAGGTATGACTTCCGCTAAATCTTGTTATCTATGAAGATCTTAGACTAAATCCGATTATCCATGAGGGTCCTGAACATTAAAATCAAATCTCATCTTAAGAGTGACAACTTTAAGGCTAAATTATATTTCCTTATGGCAGAACTTACGCTAAATCTTGTTATCTAATGGAGGTCTTAAATCTAAGTCTCATTATTCAGGAGGGTCCTGAAAATTTCGAGTTGAATCATATCCTAAGAATGAAACTTCAAAGCCAACTTATATTTCCTCGAGGTTAAACTTATGCTAGATTTTGTTACGCATGAATATTTGCATTTTACCTAGGTCCCATTGTCCCGAAGGGTCTTGAGGATTTATGGTCGAGCCTGTACGGTGCTTGCTTTCTTTATGGAATGTTTCTCCGCAACAAATGGAATTTTCAGCCCCTGTTTCAAATCCAAAAAAAATCTTGTCAGTTTAAAATGTGGTGGTTAGTTTTTGGTATTCTTGCTGAAGGTGGCCTCTTCGCTGCTGTGCTTTTGCTTTGACTGGTTGCCTTGAACCGGCCAAGAACCATTTGACTTTCTGACTGACTCTCAATCGCGGGACGTTGGATGACCCGAATGTCCTACACCCACACTGTTGCTTTACATTTTTGACCTTTCTACCTGAACCTCTGTATCTCCCACAAGATTACTAAACCATTCGACCAATGGAACTTTCACTGACACCTTATTTCCCACTTTACATCATGCTAACTCTGGTATGCTTTGGCCGCACTTTGCTTTGTGCAATTTTGGAAGTTGGTAGTAAGCTTTGAAATCCCTTCTCACTTGCTCAAACAAAATTGACATTGGAAAAATCTTAGAGAAATAAACCCAAGAGAAATTAAATGCAATGACTTTAAGAGTTAGGAATAAAAGAAAATCCAAAACTGAATGACTGTTTGAGAGGGGAAAAGGAAAAGAGACTTATCTGAGTGGAACAGCTGGCACAATGATCATGACATGTATTTCGGATTAATCAGCCCAGCCTATTCAACCAATCACCTTTCAGTTGTCATACTTTATGCCCCGAGATCTTCAAAACCCAACTTTTTGGCCAAATCACTAACCTTGTTCGGCCTGCGGTGCCCTGAAGGGTTTTCAGCAACAAACCTCTCTCATTTGTTCCTCTCTTAACTCACTGCTGCATTACGGTGCCTGTGAAGGTTTTCACCAATAAGACTTTCTCATTTTTTAAATTTCTCTCATCTTTCCATCGCCTTAAGGTGCCCGTGAGGGTTTTCACCAATAAGACTCTCTCATTTTTCATTTTCTTGCTCCGGACGGAGTGTTGCTCCTGATACGAATCACTTCTATTTGCTCGACTTGGCATCTCTCGAAAATTGGTCGGAAGATCTTTATTTGGATCGTAATGTGGGCTTTTGGATAAGGTTAGAAATAAAGGATATTAAAAGGCTCAAATAACTTGAATGGGTTTAAAATAAAAACTCTTGGAATTAGATTTCTTACAACAACCACAACTTTCTGCCCCAGTTTCTTTGCTTGGGGACTTTGAATTTTTATTTTGATGGGACCGAACCGTGAGGCTGCCTACGTATCCTTAAAAGGAATCAGGTCGAACGTAGTTCATGACATAGGAATTTATTTGTGGTTGTTCTTCCTTTCCTTTCCTTTCTTTCTCTCTCTTTTTTTTCTTTCCTTTCTTTTCTTTTTTTCATTCTTTTTCCATTCTTTCCTTTTCTTTTCTCTTCTCTTTCCTTTTTTACTTCTATGACGACCCAAAGGGTCATCACCTATTTTCTTACCTATTATGTGCTTCCGAGGTCTTGAAAACCTCATTTAGAGTTACTTCGATTTACGTGCGCAGTCCGGGTGCGTAGCCGAAAAGCTTAAATATGAAATTTTGTGAAAAATGCTAAGTTTTAATGTTAAAATGAATAAATTTGACTTCGGTCAATATTTTGGGTAAACGAACCCGGACCCGTGATTTGACGGTCCCGGAGGGTCCGTAGGAAAATATGGGACTTGGGCGTATGCCCGGAATCAGAATTCGACGTCCCTAGCCCGAGAAGTGAATTTTTTTAAGGAAATTATTTTTCTGAAAATGTTTAAGGAAATTGAAATGAAATTTGATTAGAACGAGTTGGTATCGGGCCCGTATTTTAGTTACGGCGCCCGATACAGGTCTTATATATGACTTGAGTCATTCTTGTGAAATTTGGTTAAAAAAAGACGTCGTTTGACGCGATCCGGACCTTAATTGAGAAATGTGATGTTTAAAAGAGTTTTGAGAAATTTCATTGATCTTGAGATTTAATTCGATGCTCGTAATGTTATTTTTGTAATTTGATGACATGAATATGTCCGTAGGATGTTTTTGAGGTTGTTTGTATACTTGGGTTGGAGTTTCGAGGGCTCGGGTGAGTTCGAGTAGGTTCCGGGATGCCTTAGGCTTAGAAAGTCAGATGTTGCAGGTTCAGGAAGTTACAGGTCTCTGAACCCTTTAGTGCGGTCCGCGAGAAATCGCGTGCAACCACGGAGGGGCCAGCGCGGCTGCGGTTGCCTTTGTGCGGGACGCGGTGGAGGCTGTGCGGCCGCAGTCGCCTTTGTGCGGTCCGCATAGGGTGTTGAACTGCAGGTTATCAGGGAGGCCTGTGCAGCCGCAGTCCGTTTAATGCGGTCCGCGGTGGAGCTCCGCGGCCGCAGTCCTTTTTATGAGGTCCGCGGTGAAGGTTTGAGAGAGGTATAAATAGATGGGATTTTCAGTTATTTTTCACTCTTCAAAACCTCAAAAACATAAGAGACAATTTTTCAGACAACCTTTCTTCTACAAATCAATTGTAAGTCATTTTTAACTAGTTTTGTTCAATAATTAACATCTTTTAACATGATTTC